AGCCAGAAAGCCCAATCAGTTTCCGTGTGTCTGCTGCCCAGTATAAGATGTAAAAGCAAAATGAGGAGAAATATGTGATTAGTGCAAACTATAGGAGTCATGCTGAAGTTCTGTCTGTAATAGGGGATCTGGGAGGGACCACAGTGAGCCTGCCACACTCAGGCCAGCCTGCAAGGATTAGGGCAAACTAGATTCACCAAGCTAGTAACAAGAGTTCTGCAGTACTTCACTAGCTAACCAGAAGGCATTTCCCTTTAGGCATTTCATCCCTTGGTTCCTGAGGGGTTTTTGAAACCATATTCAACCTACGTGAGGTTCTTTCTGATCCCAGAGGTCAACATAGATCTCAGACCTCATGCTGTCAGCCAGTCCTTAGTAAGCTAACTAAAACTTTATTAAAAAGGATATAGATGATTAATGGATCATGTACATATAAACGATGGCAAAGTATTTACATCAGGTTTATAGCCATGGGTGTCCGGTATCCGAAGTGGGGAAAGCATGGCTTTCCCAAAGGGACAGCTTAGCCCTGCCCACGCTTCGCCCCCAGAATGCCTACTGTAGGTGTTCTGCAAGCAGCGAGTTGCTGCCCCCCGTACCCACACTCCCTGTGCTCCTGGTCAGGGAGGCTGGGGCCACACCCCCACCCAACTTCCTTCCCAGTGCTTACTGTGGGGAAAGGGGGGAGGTGGGAGAGGCGGCTTGGCTCCTTTGGGGGCAGGACCTCAAATAAAGGGATGGGGCTGGTAGTGGGGTTGTGGGCTTGCCTTCCCCAGCCCTACCTTAACCAACCACCCATGTTTATAGCAGTGATGGAACAAAATGCTGGCTTGCAAAAGCCTCTTTCATAACATCCACATACTCCTTTTCGGTATAAATTAAATTTACAGTTCCAGGAACTGAGTCAAAATGGGGATTTCAGGTGCCTCTATATTCTCTGCCCTACCCATGGAAAGTTAATATCCCAAACAAAGCCCACACTCATTCTGCATGGAAAGTTACTGTCTCAAAATGGGCTTCACGAAAACAATGAGGAATCCTGTGCCACCTTAAAGACTAACAGATTTATTTAGGCATAAGCTTTTGTGGGATAAAAACCATTTTGTTGTAGCTTATGCCTAAATAAATCTGTTGGCCTTTAAGGTGTCACACAACTCCTCGTTTTGCAGAAACATACTGACACGGATACCCTTCTGATATTTGTCAAGATGGAGTCCATGGTCACATGTCCACATTTCATGCACTCACTTGGATTGAGTCACAAGAGTGGCCACTGGCGTCTTGCTGTTTGAGGAATCCTCAAGAAGAGCTGTGTGTGCTAGAAGGAGAGATTTTTTTTTAAATGGGCCATGAATACAGCTAGTTGATTAGTCCTGCTGTAAATGTGTCTGGGGGCTGTCACCCAACTCACCTTTAAGAAATAAATGCATAGCCAATATTCATAACATACAGAGCCAATATTAATAACTTCAGATTTGATGATACAGGCATATAGATCAAACTTACCAAATCACAACTTGGTAAAGGATTTATGGTAATTGTGTACCTGTGGTAACATTGATATAAATGGTCACCTTTCTTATGCACAGCATTGTACCAGCATGCTCTGGATTTCCCTCTGGATCCCCTCTTTCGTCTCCTATTATTCAGTCATATAATCTGTCAGGTTGGGAATTACTCTAGCTAACCAGCAAATATGAGCTGGTCTTATGGAAATCCCCCTTGAGATGAATTAAGTTAAAATCAGAGTCCAGTATCTATCACAAAATAATTTTGATGAGGTGCAAACTTTGTATAGAAATTACCACATTTATTCTTCGTGTAACTCATGTTTTTTTTCTTATGGAATTTCTCCTTAATTTTGATGAAGCAATTTATTGTATCTGAATTCTCTCAAACTGATCCTTCTAAAATGTGGATAAATGCATACTGAAATGGCTTATGTTTATATTATCAAATTTTCTGGCAGGACAATTGCTGTTGTGATTAATAAAAAGATCCAGATGTTCTCTAACAAGTTCATTTGCAGAGTTATAATTGTACAAACCTTAGAGCTAGTTGAATTATTCTGTATATATACGATGCTGCTCCAGTTTAGGGTTTGACTTTCAGGAGACCTGAGTTTAAATTCACTATTTATCCATTCACTATTAACCATTTCAGAAAAAAAGACCAAACCACTAGGATTTATACCACAATATCATATTATTTGCAGAGCGCCAGAAGCCTCAAATGTCTTTGCCCAGCCAACAAAATCACCAGCTTTCCTTCAATATCCATTTGATAACCAACATCCACAATGCAGTTACCTATCAGTAGAAACACCCCCCGCGCGCACACACAGTTCTTTGAAAGCAAGAAATATAGCATCAAAATACATGACCCAAAGGAAATTTCATTGGAGTAGTATGTCAATGAAAAGGTACAGTATTTTGAAGATATAGAATCTGATGCTGAACCTTCAGCTCTCATACTGTAGTGGACCACTGCATAAACCAGAGGCCCTTGCTGTATAGTTGGTAAGTGCTGCTAGTCTTTTTCAGTCCTACACAGGAATGCACAGGCACACAATAGTGAGAGAGAGAGAATTTATTGAAGCACAATGAAAGCTAACAATAAATATATCACTTCCCTTTTTGACTTATGTAAACTGATCAAGGAAACACTGTTGGAGAACTGATGAACTATTCATTATGAATAATATAGCTATTACCACAGACATTCAGGCTGATGGTACTGAGCACCTTCAGCTCCCATTGACAAATGTCCCAGCTGAAGACTGCACAATGACAATATGTTTCCAATCCCAAAGGCCACCCAAGAATTAGTGTCAATTTTCTTCTTTTCCTTTGCCAAACCTCCCCACTAGTAACTGCTACCAAGTTACCTGCTGTCACTACAGAAAACCAGCAGCATATTGAAAAGTACAAATATAAAGAAGCCTAATCAGAACAAATAAGACAAATCTGAGGAGATTTTGTACAGGGATTCAGTAATTACAGAGCATAATAGCATGACTTCCCTTTCTGTTGTCTTGGCTGCACCCATGCCTCAGTTTCCCTTGCAGGTGGGTTATTTTAACCTTTGGCAAAATCCCCAAAAGTCCTCCTCTTCCATGGTATTCAGTTCAATAAAGCAGCAGTCTAATTATAATCCACAAACCCTTCACTTCTCAGTGCAGGTCTCTTCTCTCTCAGTCCAGAGGTTCATTCACATGCCTGAATTGCAGAAGCCCCTTGGTGGAGAGTGACAAGCAGCTGCCACTTTCTCCAAAAAAAACCTCAGTCTCTGGTTTTCTAGCCAAAACATTGTCCCTTCCTCAGGATCTTTTGGCGTCTGCTTGGGCCACTGCCCCAGCTGTGTCAAAGCTCTGATCATCTTTGCCTTCAGAGAGCCCAAATCATATCGTGGTCTCTTTTTTAGAGTATATTTCTATAGTGATCAAAATCCCCTGCTTGGCCCAAGACAGCTGACCCAGGCTGTTCTGGTTTGGGCTTCAGGGTGAACAACTGTGGACATTTTGGTTTAACAGTAATGTAGCGAGGACAGCAGCTGGGGATGGGGTTCAGGTGGGCAACCCCGTTAGTCTATCACCAGCTGGAAGGGAGAAGAGCTTCCTGGGAGGTATTTCAAAGCTTGTCACTCAGCATGACTTGCCCAAACACACTGATTTTTCATTATATGAGAGGGAAGAATTTGATTCTTATGTACTAGGGGAAAGTTGCTCATTGGGACATTTCACCTTTCCCTTGCCTGCTTCTTTCATACTGTGGGGCAATGAGTCAGGCTAATTCCTTCCTTCCAAAACCAGAGTTTCCTAGAATATACCATGAGGAGTCCACAGATCTCAGGAAGTGCTATATCGGTTTTGAATAACATCCAGAGAAGGGTTTAAAATATCTGAGAGAGTGGGGCAGTGCAGATCTGACAATCAGGGACAAGCAAAATCTGAGAAGAAAGTTGATCGGTGAGGGGTTAACAGCTTCCTTTGCCTCTCTTCATCCTCCTTGTAGGGCCCACCCCAGCAGTTTCTCTCCAAAAGTGGAAGTGATATAGTTGAAAATGGACCTGGAAACAAGCCCCCAGCCTGAGACCATGTCTTTTCCCATATTCAAGTACAAAAAACAGAAGGGGAAAAAGCTAAGGGTACTTTAGATCAGCCCTGAATCATTTAGAGGGAGAGTGGGGCCATGTCTGAGGAGATTTTATCCCAGAATTTGACAGAAAAGGCTGCCAGATCTGAGGAGATTTTCAGTTAATAATAAATTCAGAAGAAAGGGTAAAAATTGTTGGGGATTTTCAATGGGAAACAAGCCCCCAGCCTGAGACCATGTTTTTCCCCATATTCAAGTACAAAAAACAGAAGGGGGAAAAAGTTAAGGGAACTTTAGATCAGCCCTAGATCATTTAGAGGGAGAGTGGGGCCATGTCTGAGGAGATTTTATCCCAGTATTTGACAGAAAAAGCTGCCAGATCTGAGGTGATTTTCAGTTAATAATAAATTCAGGGGAAAAGGGTATAAACGGTCAGGGATTTTCAGTCTATGCTGGAGAATTAGAACGAGATGCCAGGCTGTGGCAGGGGGGATGCTGCTGTCACAGGAGAGGGGAAGGGCGACTGGAGCCAGACGACTGTGCCAGAAGGTTCCATGGCAGTTGGGCTGGTGACTGGCAGTTGGGCAAGGGGGAAGGGTGGCTTCTGTCGGTCCATCACCCCTTAAAAGGGGGGGCTTCAAGCCCTGAGTATAAAATAGGGAGCCCTGTGATCAAACAAACCAATTCGTATTTAAATGAAGTCACAGGAGAGGGGAAGGGCGACTGGAGCCAGACGACTGTGCCAGAAGGTTCCATGGCAGTTGGGCTGGTGACTGGCAGTTGGGCAAGGGGGAAGGGTGGCTTCTGTCGGTCCATCACCCCTTAAAAGGGGGGGCTTCAAGCCCTGAGTATAAAATAGGGAGCCCTGTGATCAAACAAACCAATTCGTATTTAAATGAAGAGCATTGGGGAGTTTAACCACCTTCGCCCCCACAACCCATGAACACACACAGACGGTGGAGAAGTGACCCACATCAACTGCTTCCCTCCAAAAGCACAAGGGGCTGCATTTTAAAATGGGGGTAGGAAGGAGGCCCTGAGGGGATGGATTGTAGTTAATCAACATTCAACAACTGGAGTGGAAAGAGGCTAACTATGAAGGGATTATATACTAGATAATAAAATCACAGAGAAAGTTTGCAAAATCAGAGGGGATTTTATATTCATCATAGTTAATAAAAGGGAGCAAATTTGATGGGATTTTAATTGAAAATGAGGGAACAAGTGGGATAAAATGCTAGGCAATTTTACATCAATATTCAATTATTTGAATGGAAAAGTACAAAATCTGAGAGCATTCTCAATCAGACCAAACCTGAAGAAATATGCTGTGGTTTCAGAGCAAAGGCCTGGCATGGTTTTGGGGCTCAGAGCAGGGGTTAGGCTCTTTGTGTATAAAGGAGAGTTTGGGGGGGGAATGGTCACTAGTTTGGGAGGCTGGCGGGAGGGGTAAAGCAGGCAGCTTTCCAGTACAAATTCAGCCCCCTGCCACCATCCCTAAAGGGCGCCCTGGAGAGGGTCAGGGTTGGTGCAGCCCTGGACTGGGGGGCACGAACCTCCAGGCAGCCTCTTTACTCTGCCTGGTTGCCCACTGGTGAGTGCACCAGCCTGCAGGAAGCCCCAGAAGCCTGTCTGGACACATGCTGCCTCTCCTTCTATAGCCAAGCGCCCCTGCCGGCCAGCTCCTATCCCCTGGAACTGCACTCCGGTGCGCACCGGTTGCCTGCACCTCTGCTGGCAGCTCACAATGATGTGTCAGTTTCTCCAGATCCTCCTCACCTGCGGCAGAGCTCTACCAGGGGCGATGCCCTAGGCCCCTCTGGAGTCCCACCCTGCGGTGACACAGCGATGGGGGGAGAAATGCTCTAGGGAGCAGTGTGGGGCTGTGGCAGGTGCTGTTATTCATGCAACAGCCCTGCAGAGGCCTTGCTGCGCCATGGCAGGGACCAGCCATACGAGATGCTGCCCTTGCAGTGTTTGTGGTCCAGCCTCCCTTTGCTGTTTGAGCAAGAAGGTGTTTCCGGACTCACCAAAGTAACAAGAGACAATGTATTCGGAGTCAGAACCTGTTTGGTGTTCAAAGTTCAGAGTCCACCCACTTCTGAGAAGAGAAAAGGAAACTAAATTTCTCCACTCACTGCAGAAGCAGCCATGGCTGCTGCAAAGGCAGGAAACACGCTCCTGAGTGAACTGACTTGTTCTGTGTGTAAAGATTATTTTAAAGATCCCGTGTGTCTGGATTGTGGGCACAATTTCTGCCGAGCCTGCATCACTCAATGCTGGCAGGGACTGAGTACAAACTTCCACTGTCCGGAGTGCAGAGAAACCTTCTCCCAGAGGAACTTCAAACCGAACAGACAGCTAAGGAATATTGTAGAAGCCTCCAGACCTCTGACAATGGAGCTAAAAAAAGAGCCAGAAGTGGAGACAATGTGTGAGAAACACAACGAGGCTTTGAAAATCTTCTGCCAAGAGGACCAAATCCCCATTTGCTTGGTTTGCCAGGTGTCCCGAGATCACAAAGACCATACCGTGGCTCCCATAGATGAAGCTGCCGAGGTTTACAAGGTAAGAAACTAGCGGGAATGGCCAGGGAGGGCGTTTAAATAAAATAATTGAAAGAGACAGGAGATAATGTAGGACCTTAAGAAGTATTAGTGTTGCCACCTGTCCGGTTTTGAACTGAACAGTCCAGTATTTGAGCTTCCTGCTTGGGAAACAAATTGAGAAAATACTAATGTCCGGTATTTTCCAAATAAGATACAATGTACATTGTGATATCATGTCAGGTATGTCTGATATTTTTGTTGAAATCATTTGGGAACCCTAAGATGTTTCCTAACTGAAATGCAGCATATGAAATAAGCATTGTCAGCTTCAGTATTGTCACCTCTTAGAACTTCTGAGTAATTTCTGGAGCACCCAAACTTCCAAGGAATTCAGAGACCTGGGAGAACTGAGGGTAAGTCTAGACTACAGGCTTCTGTCGACAAAGCTTCTGTCAACAAAGAGAGTCTAGACTACATCCAGTTCTGTTGACAAAGCAAGCCGCTTTCTTGACATGAGAGTGTAGCTGCAAAGACAGTGTAGATGCAATTACGCCTTCTGTCGACAGAACTCTGTCGACAAAAGGTGTTATTCCTCGTAGAATGAGATTTACAGCCATCAACAAAACTGTGTAGACACAGGTATAGTTTTGTCAACAAAAGTCCACTTTTGTCGACAAAACCCTGTAGTCTAGACACACCCTGAGACACAAACTCTTCCAGGGCACAGTGAAGGTCATACCCACCGTAGAACCCATTGTCACTGAGTCTGCTTTTTAGATGTTGTTTTTATTTCTTCTATCTTTTGGGGAAGAATCACTCCCAATTGGGCAAGTCAGAGATTAGAGTGTATTGCTTTTTACTTGGAATGTGTAGCTAGGTCTAAATGTTTCTGCTCCACAACATTTGACAGTGTTCAAAAGTGGTTCTGGGCTCCAGTGGGGTACAGGAATGTGCTGGGAATTGGTTCTCAGTCTTGAAACATTGTCCTCAAGCTACTGTGCTAGGTTTTATACATTTTGCCCTCTGGGCCACTTTAGAACAATGTTTTCCAGGTCCTTTTTGGTGTTTAAAATATAGTTCTAGGCCAAAACAGGGCAATCACAAAGGGCTCTGAGTCTGTTCCCGGAACTGTCTGTAACAGCACCTGCTGGGCTTTGCAACAATTTCACTGCTTAGAATCGCCATTCTGGGCCTCTTGGGTGAGTGTTGTACCAACAGACTGTGGGATATTGTGATGTGGGATCTCCTTCATCTGCCTTCTCACAGCTGTGCCAATGGGGAGAAAGAGCCATTTAGACCAGAGAGAGAGAAGGAGAGAGAGAGAGAGCGAGAGAGTCAGAGCGCACAAGCATGAGAATGACTCTCTAGTCAGGTAGCTGGACCACACCCTCAATGTATTGTGTATTTAGTAACCTTGAAAATATAAAAAGACGGAAGTTCCTCCAGAAGCAACCAAAACTAAGTGGGGTCTTTTGGGTTTTTTTGGGTTAGGACCAAATCCACAGCTCTATGAAGATTTTGAAGGAGAAAAGAGACAAGATTCAGTCATTTAAATTGAGTGGAGAAAAGAAAAGCCAAGAACTGCTGGTAAGTGCTATTATTACTTAGATGCAAATATGCACAGGGACATTATCCACACACTGCTTAAAACGGAGTTCATAAGAGAAATAGTGAGAAACAGGTTCCCTCTGTGAAAGACTGTTCCACATTCATCGTCACTGTAAAAAGAAATTGTTCTCCAAAGTCTTAATAATCCAAATATTTTCACTGATAATAGGAGTGTAATTTTTCAGCCAGAATCCCGTCATGTTCTTGAATGGGGCTTAGTAGAAACCAATATTTTTTCCCCTGGGAAAAAATAATTTGAAACAAAATTTTCCATTTGTGCGAGAATTTCAAAATGTGGCTAATATGTTTGTGTCATTTCAAATTGTAACTTTAATTTTATTGAAACATTTTCAAAATTTCAAAGCTTGGTTTTATTCACTTCCCCTTTTTAAATAACTTCCTTTTTTTTGTCCTTTTTTTTGTCACCTAGCCTCCCCAGCTTTTGGTCTGCTTGGTTTTCAGCAGGGATAACCCCAACAGGGCAAAACCAGCAAGGAATCTGCTGGTACTTTAAAGACTAGCAGCTTTGCTGCCAGAGAACTCCTTGTTGTTTTTACTGAAATACCTAGCATGGCCACCTCTCTGAAACAGGACAATTTGTGCAGCTGCTGTAGGAAACTTCTGCCCCACAGAGAGCTGGTCACTTAGGCCTTCAGAGCCTATTGCAGTAATTGGAAAGATGCTGGCTGTGTTGTGAGAGCTCTGGAGCAGGCCCTTAATGATGATATCACTGCTGGACATTGCCATGAATAAGATCTGAATTTGAAATCTGCTCTGATTTCCTTGCTCCTAGGGCATGAGGGGCTAGAGGTTGCTCCAGAAACTACATGAGTATGTTCTTCCAGTTAACTTCTGGGAGCTTGCAATGCCATGTTTGCATCTGCATACGAACATCTTCATAAAATGTCCCATAATTCACTCTGTGTTCCTGTCCTCTGCTTTCCCTCTTCATACTGTGTGATTTCAGAAACAGCTAGAAACTGAGAAGCAGAAGATTGTGTCTGAATTTGAGCAACTGTCCAAGTTTCTGAAGGGACAAGAGCGACTCCTGCTGGCCCAGCTGGAAGAGCTGAACAAGGAAATTGAGAAGAGGCGGGATGAATATGTGGCCACACTATCTGAGGAACTGTCCTCGTTCAGTTCCCTGATCAGTGAGTTGGAGCAGAAGTGCCAGCAGCCAGCGATACAATTCTTGCAGGTGAGATGGTGTTAGAAACACCCAGAATCTTTCTCAGGGAAAGAAAGTCTCCTAATTCTTTACTTTTGGAGAGCCAGAGTGAAAGTTCAGAACACAGAGTATTGCTAAAATATAGATTTTTTTTTCTTAAGGGCTTAATAAATAGCCCATAAAGTCAGTGGAAATAGACTTCCTGTGCACAGTGGACATTGGATCGAGCCCTAAATAAAAAAAATCTTTTGAATTCTTATGGGAGAAAACTCCCCCCAAAATGGCAGACTCCAAGCTCTGTTCTCCCTGTCCCATTATGCAAGCTAAAAGGGAAATTCAATAGAATTAGAAGATAGCAAATTCAGATCTGAACCAATGCACACTTTGCCATACATCCCCAGATTAGACTGTGGAACTCATTGACACTGGATGCTGTTGAGGCCAAACATTTGGCCAAACTAAAAAAGAGATCAGATATTGACACGGATAACAGGAGTATCTAGAGTGTTGTTAAATCTCATGCTTCATTGCTTCAGCCAGTCACAAACTATGAGAGAGCCCAATATCTGACATCTTAGTCAGAAGCATTTCGGACTGTCCATATTTGGAGACATGATCATGAGAAGATGGAGCTCCGGTCTGATACAATCTGGAATTTCCCATGTTTTAAACACTACCTAGAAAAGCTTAAAGATGGAACCAGTCTTTAGTTATGGAAATAGCTACAATTGGAGTGAAGTTTCCATTTTATGCCTGATTTGGCCACTCTTCAATATTGGCCTTAAAACTGATACATGAGCTCTTGGACTGTGGTGATTTTTCCTGCCAGATGGAAGTTAACCAGGGAAGGTGTTCATTACTTAGGACAGCCTGAATGTGTCAGTAGTTGTTAGAATTCCCAAAGCCTCCTAATTATTTCCATTTTCTACAAGTGCCAAACAAGACAGAAAATGGTGAAGAAAACGTAGCTTATTGGACTTCTCCAATTGGTATTTTGGGTCAGTTTCTCTGTTGTAACTAATATCTGCTGTGGGCAGCATTCTTCTCTCCTCACATCCCCTGCGTTCAGCCTGGGTGCAGGATAGCGACTCTGCACCCCAATCCCATTGTTCTCCTCCAACCCCGACTTCCTGTGGCCACCAAGAAGCTCACAGGATGGGCCTTGAGAATGGTTGTGGGAAAGTGGGGAGAGAGTTTACAGCCTGGGGGCAGCACAGCCAGGGGCAGCCTTCCCTCCTGATCCCCTGCCGCCTGCAGGAGGGGTCATTCCCAAAGCCGGGAGGGTTCAGGAGATCTTTGTTCCACACATCACCCGCCTGAGCCCTCTGATTCCATGTGCCCAAGGGGGTTACACCCCGAGCTAGTGAGCTCCATAGACAAACTCCCTGGGCCCAGATCCTGCACTTGCTGCCCTTCTCCACGGGAGCGGAGTCAACACATTGAATGGGTTTGTTTGTGTTAATAAATAACAAATCATTTCAATTTCACTGTGAACCTCCAACGAGGAAAACTGAATTTCCTTTTCCCTGTCTCCTCTAGGACATCAAAGGTGCCTTGCGCAGGTAGGTGGCTCCTTCTCTCTCTCCCTTTCACTTCCCCGTGCAGAAAAGGGAATTTAGACCCGTGACATGGCTCCCTGGGGTCCAGCAGGGCAGAGTGTGGGACTGGCTCCTATCTGGAGAGTTGGTGCTGACTGGCAACTATTCAAGAAGCAGTTTATTTCTTGTTTATTTTCACACAGTGATCTCTGTCGCTCTGCCTGGCAGACATGCCCTGTTCTAAGGCCTTTGGTGTGTGCTTTGACTAGTAGCACTGTGATGGTGCCCGAAGGCAAAATGCAAAATCAGGTTGGTGCTGATGCTGGGCGCTGCACAGACACAGGAAGAGACAGGCCCTGCACCAATGAATTTACACTCTAAGCAAGAGACAGAGGTCTGAGGGAGGAAGGATTAAAATCGATGCCAGGGAACGTTCAATAAAGACCCAGCACTGCACCTAGGAAGGAAAAATCAAACGTAGCGCTATGAATTGGAGACTATCTGGCCAGGCAGTGGCACTGCTGAAGGATCTGAGGATTGAACTGGATTCCAAATAGCCGGAGTTGGCCGCGCACCTCTCGTGTGAACAAGGCAAAGTGCAGGCAGCTCGGTGCGACCTGAACTCCTAGTGCAGAACAGACCTCAGGGAGGGTCTGATCAGCCTTCCTATGTACATCAGGCTGTTCTACAGAGATTGGGGATCGGTTGTTGCTCAAGTGCACTGAGGCTGGTACCAGAAATAGTTGGTTTGATTTGCCACAAGGGAGATTTGCAGGAGTGTGAAAGGGTTCCTGGGGTACAGCCTGGGCTACGGGACCACTGAGTCCTCCAAGTCTCCACAAACCCTGGCTCCTCTGCAAACCCAGAGCCTCCTTCTACCCTCCAAACACATCATCCCTGCCCCACTGCAGGGCCTGCCCCCCCACATGGGGCCTAACCCCAAATACCAACCCCACCCTAGCCCTAAGCTTCCTCTCACACCCAGACCCCCTTTGCCCTGCTCCCCAGTCTGGAACCCCCTATTCTACTCCAAACCCCTCATCCTACCCATCCCAGAGCCTGCACACCCGCGTGGAGCCCTTTCCTCCTGCCCCACACATCAGACCCATCCTGGCCCCACCCCATAGCCCTCACTCTAGTCAAGAGAAGTAATTATGCTGGGTCACAGGCATCAACTATTTTCTTCAGCTGGGTCGTGAGGAAAAAAGGTTGAAAACCGCTGGTGTACAGGATACAAATGAGGGGGTCCTGCTTACCCACTCTCTCCACACCCCCAGGCTACGTCTACACTGGCACCCTTTTCCGGAAATGCTTAAAACGGAACAGTTTTCCGTTATAAGTATTTTCGGAAAAAGCACATCTACATTGGCAGGATGCTATTCTGGAAAAGCATCCGTGGCCAATGTAGACGCACTTTTCCGGAAAAAATCCCCAATTGTCATTTTCGCGATTGGGACTTTTTTGCGGAAAAGACTACTGTGCTGTCTATACTGGCCCTTTTCTGGAACAGTTTTTCTGGAAAAGGACTTTTGCCCGAAAGGGAGCAGCATCGTTTTTCCGGAAAAACACTGACAATTTTACAGTAGATCGTCATTGCTTTTCCAGAAAAGCAAGAGGCCAGTGTAGACACAGCTCCAATGTTTTACATCACAAACTCTCTTCTGTTTTTACTTCTTGGCAGGTGGAACATGTTCACATCTGGCACAACCCCCTCTCCCCATGTACCAGAAATGTATGTTACTTTCACCCCCAGTCATGTTTTGGTTTGTTCAATTGAGGAGCCCCTGGTGGTATTGATACACAATCCTTAGTTGTTACTTTTCTCTCCATGCACGGCATTTATTACCAAGACACAAATCATTGTCATGGCTCTTCTCTGCATCTCCCAAGTTTTCAATGTCCAGTTTAAAATGAGGCACCGAACTGGATGGAGTTTTCCAATATTGGTCTGACCAAAATGAAGAGGAAACTTGCAATATCCTGGCTGATAGTTTATCGGTACATGGGGCAATAGAGCGTGTATTCCTGCAAGGGCTGCTGAGCTTCAACCATTGGATGTGATAAAATTCATGGTAGTAAAACACAAACCGGAATGAACTCCATCGCAAGTAACACTGGGCGGTTCTTCTGCAGGTGCGAGAGGGAGAAGTTTCAGAACCCTGTGGTGTTTTCTTCTGAACTGAAATGGAAAGTCTGGGAATCTTCTCAAAGAAATGGATCCCTGGACGTCGTCATGAAAACATTCAGAGGTAATTAACTACCACTTTGAGAATTTTCTTACATTTCTATCTATCTATCTATCTATCTATCTATCTATCTATCTATCTATCTATCTATCTATCTATCCCCACCCACCTTCTGTATCTATCTATCTATCCATCCCCACCCACCTCCTGTATCTATCTATCTACCTACCTACCTAATGGTCCTGTAGCACCATAGGTTATGTCCAGACAGCATCCCTCTTTCGGCAGAGGGATGCAGATTAGGCAGGTCGACATTCCAAATGAAGTGGGGATTTAAATATTCCATGCTCCATTTGCATAAAAGTAGCCGCCACTTTTTGCCACGGCGGCACTTTGTCGGCAAGAAGCGGCAGTCTAGAGAGGGAGCCGTCAAGAAGGAAAGCCTTTCTCGACAGATCCTGTAAAACTCCTTGCAGGAGGCATAAGGGACCTGTTGAAAAAGGCTTTCTTTCTTGACAGATCCCCCTCTAGACTGCCACTTTTTGCCGACAAAACTGTGGATCTTGGGTGGCAGATGGAAAACTCCTGATTGCGGGGTGAGGGGTGTGCTGTGTAGATTTGATGCTGAGTTGTAGCAGGGAGTTTCATGAGCGGATGGTTTAGGGGTTTTGGGGCATTCTTTCGAGGGATCATAGGACAGAGGCCTGGAGAATCTGGTGTTGGCAGCCTCCTGTTTGTCATCTGCCCTGTTCATGACAGCTACCGCGCCCCCTTTGTCAGCCTCTGTGATTGCGACGTTAGAATGGTTGTTGCGGCTGTGTAGCAGTGTGTGCTGCGTGGCTGAGGTTAAGTTGCTGTTTGGTAACAGTGTCAGTCTGGGCGTGTTTGTGGAAGCCATCGATGTAGAAGTCCAAACTCTTGTTATGCTTGTGGGTGGGGGGAGGGTCCAGGTGGAGGCCTTCCTCTTGTGGGGCTTGCCAGGGGACCCTGAGTGTAAGTGCAGTGTTCAGTGGCATGCTGGAAATTTTCCTCTAGATGGAGATGGTGAAAATAGGCTTCCAGATGACCACACAACTGAATCGTGGGGGGCGGTGGGTAGAAAGAGAGTCCCCACGATAGAAGAGATTCTTCTGCTTAGCCCAGAAGACCCCTGAGTCCAAGGCCAGCGGTCAGGACCCCATGTGCTGGGCCCTGAGCAGAGCCCTGGGCAGGGGTCTAGCAAGACTCAGTACCCCACCTGCAGGGCTGGTGGCTGAGGCAGAGCCCTGGGTGAGGGTCCGGTGCGAGCTGGGACCCTGGGGGCAAGGCTGGCAGCTGGGACCAAGCTCAAACCCGGAAGCATTCCCCACACTCCTGGTTCCCACACTTCTGCATGTAGGCTCAGAGGCTTCCCTCCCTCACAGTGGGGTGAGTCGGTGCTTGGGGAGTCGCATGGGCCAGATGAAATTTAGCAGTGGGCAGTTCTGGGCTGTAGGTTCCCTACCCGGCTTTAGAGATTCTCCACCGTTTGTCATTCTGGGCTGGAGACAGTGAGACGCCCGGTCTGCCAGGAAAGCTGAGCCGGTCGTCCTGAGTGCTACGGCTAGGGGGAAGATTGAAGGCTGATCCGTGAAAACGTGTCTGGTTGTTGCTCTGTTTGTGAGTTGTGTTTGGCTACCCAGCAATCATGATCTTTTTGGGAAATCAGAGAGGCCATCTCACCTCATTTGCAGAACTCGTCATGCACGTTTATCACACCCCCAGCCACATTATTACACTGGCTGGTCTGGGTCAGCAGCCTCCCGCTCTCGGGGTTCAGGCTACAGGAGTGTTTCATGGCAGTGCTGATTTTTGGGCTTGGGATGATGGAGCTTGGGTCCTAGAGCCCAATCTCCTCCCTCCTGTTCTCCCTGTCTCCCACCTCCTGACTCCGACTCCTGAATCCCCCAGATCTCTAAACTCCTTCCCTGAGCCCCTCCTTAAGGACCCAGGCGACGCCGGGGAAGTGTGCTAGTAACTTCATTGGTTTGTTTTCTTTTCACTTTGCTTTTGTGCTAGAACATTAACATTAAATTATACACACCACACTGAATCTTTTTCACTCGTTTCTTCCTTTAGACTCACTGGCGTCTAGAAAGCAGCTGAGCAAAGGTAAATTTCTGGCATCTAAAGGGGGGTGAAACCTTTCCTATGAAGTATGGTGGCTTGGTGGCACCACCACAGCTCAGGTTTTCTTTCCATTTTGCTTTTGACGGGAGCTGAACACTGTATTGGTGGAGGCCACACAGATCTTTCCTAAAACCAGAGAAGTAGATTCTTTTCTCTGTCATAAGTTAGAATCTTTAAATATTGGTTGAGGGTAACCAGAGGGGCAGTGGCAGAAGAGAGGGGGGAGCAGTGTATCACAATGGAAATCAAAAAGTATAACAATGATCTTTTTGGGAAATCAGAGCGGCCATCTCACGTCATTTGCAGAACTCGTCATGCACGTGCATCACACCCCCAGCCACATTATTACACTAGCAAATGCACGAGCGGTACAGTCAAGACGAGGGAAATTCAGCACACAATGATCGACAGTTCTGTTTTAGAAGTCAAAAGAAATCTTGTTAAACCTGCCCAAAGGCCTTAGGCCGGCATCCTACAGTAGCGGACAGACCGGCCCTCACGATTTGAATGTGCAATGTGATTTCTGAGTACCATGAAGCCTCACTCATGACCTCACAATAGGATTCTCCAATGTCAGGGGGTTTTTTTGTTTTTTTTTCCAGCTGTGGTTGAAAAGTAGAACATTAACATTAAATTATACACACCACACTGAATCTTTTTCACTCGTTTCTTCCTTTAGACTCACTGGCGTCTAGAAAGCAGCTGAGCAAAGGTAAATTTCTGGCATCTAAAGGGGGGTGAAACCTTTCCTATGAAGTATGGTGGCTTGGTGGCACCACCACAGCTCAGGTTTTCTTTCCATTTTGCTTTTGACGGGAGCTGAACACTGTATTGGTGGAGGCCACACAGATCTTTCCTAAAACCAGAGAAGTAGATTCTTTTCTCTGTCATAAGTTAGAATCTTTAAATATTGGTTGAGGGTAACCAGAGGGGCAGTGGCAGAAGAGAGGGGGGAGCAGTGTATCACAATGGAAATCAAAAAGTATAACAATGATCTTTTTGGGAAATCAGAGCGGCCATCTCACGTCATTTGCAGAACTCGTCATGCACGTGCATCACACCCCCAGCCACATTATTACACTAGCAAATGCACGAGCGGTACAGTCAAGACGAGGGAAATTCAGCACACAATGATCGACAGTTCTGTTTTAGAAGTCAAAAGAAATCTTGTTAAACCTGCCCAAAGGCCTTAGGCTGGCATCCTACAGTAGCGGACAGACTGGCCCTCAGAAATCACATTGTACATTCAAATCGTGAGTAACATGAAGCCTCACTCATGACCTCACAATAGGATACTCCAATGTCAGGTTTTTTTTGGTTTTTTTTTTCCAGCTGTGGTTGAAAAGTAAAGCCTGTTTTTTTGAGAGTGAGGCTTGCTTTGACATAGGAATCCTGCCAGCGACTGGCGTTCCCATTCTCAGCCCTTGTGCAAGAACCTTTCTGCAGAAGAGATCTTGTGCAAGAGCGCGTCAGCGCTGCAAAACGCATCGCAAAAGTGAAGTGCTCTTGCTCGACAGAGCATCCACATGGCATGGACGGTCTTGTGCAAGAGAGCTCTGATGGCCATTCACAGAATGGCTATCAGCACCTGAGCTGTTTTTGCACAAGAAACTCCAGGTTGCTGTCCACACGCACCATTTGCACAAGAGCTCTTGCTCAAAAAGGCCCATTGCTTATAAAAAGAGGAACAACTCCTGTGCAAAAAGCTAATTGTCACACGCCCACAACCTGGAAGGGAAGGGGGGGAGGCAGTTCAAAACCAAGGGACGGACCTAACACCCACAGTATCATCCCTGTGTTTTGGGCCAGTCTCATGAGATGCTGTCCACACGCACCATTTGCACAAGAGCTCTTGCTCAAAAAGGCCCATTGCTTATAAAAAGAGGAACAACTCCTGTGCAAAAAGCTAATTGTCACACGCCCACAACCTGGAAGGGAAGGGGGGGAGGCAGTTCAAAACCAAGGGACGGACCTAACACCCACAGTATCATCCCTGTGTTTTGGGCCAGTCTCATGAGATTTGAGCTCCTGAAGCTGGCAGTACTATGTTAGTCAGACAGTATCTTGTTAAACCTGCCCAAAGGCCTTAGGCCGGCATCCTACAGTAGCGGACAGACCGGCCCTCACGATTTGAATGTGCAATGTGAGACTGGCATGAGATGAGCTGATCTGCGGTAAGTGTGCAGTGCCCTTCCCCACCCCCCCGGCATCCTACAGTAGCGGACAGACCGGCCCTCACGATTTGAATGTGCAATGTGATTTCTGAGTACCATGAAGCCTCACTCATGACCTCACAATAGGATTCTCCAATGTCAGGGGGTTTTTTTGTTTTTTTTTCCAGCTGTGGTTGAAAAGTAAAGTCTGATTTTTTGAGAGTGAGGCTTGATTTGACATAGGAATCCTGCCAGCGACTGGCGTTCCCATTGTCAGCCACTCTAGGCTACGTCTACACTGCAGGCTTCTTGTGCAAGAACCTTTCTGCAGAAGAGATCTTGTGCAAGAGCGCGTCAGCGCTGCAAAACACATCGCAAAAGTGAAGTGCTCTTGCTCGACAGAGCATCCACATGGCATGGACGGTCTTGTGCAAGAGAGCTCTGATGGCCATTCACAGAATGGCTATCAGCACCTGAGCTGTTTTTGCACAAGAAACTCCAGGTTGCTGTCCACACGCACCATTTGCACAAGAGCTCTTGCTCAAAAAGGCCCATTGCTTATAAAAAGAGGAACAACTCCTGTGCAAAAAGCTAATTGTCACACGCCCACAACCTGGAAGGGAAGGGGGGGAGGCAGTTCAAAACCAAGGGACGGACCTAAAACCCACAGTATCATCCTTGTGTAAATTGCCCTGTGTTTTGGGCCAGTCTCTTGAGATTTGAGCTCCTGAAGCTGGCAGTACTATGTTAGTCAGACAGTAGCCATGCGGCCAACACTGGGGGTCCTGGAAAGTCCCCAATAGAGCAGCATGAGATGAGCTGATCTGCGGGAAGTGTGCAGTGCCCTTCCCCACCCCCCAGCTACCCAGGCAGGGAGGCCAGCGCTGGCTCTGGGGAGCCGTATTTCTGTTCCCTGCTAGCTCTGGTATTTAGGAGGGAGGGGTTGGGCATGGAGAGGGGGCTGTGGAAAGTTGCATCACAGGCCAGGGGGACTTTGGATTCTCTGTAAGGGGCCCACAGCCTCCCATGATGCCAGGGTCTCTGATCACTTCCATGGGGGGTGGGTGCAGCTGGGGGAAGATTCCCTGGGCTTGATTGCTTAACGTGCCTGGCAACAGCCACAGAAAGTAGCCAGGGAGCCCCCCAGTCAGTGCCCTGGGTGTCCAGGCGCCGCAGGGATCCTGTTCCCGGTGGCTGGTGCAGCAGTGGGCTGGGGCCAGGCCGGGGCACAGGCCGGGTGCCCTGCACTAGGGCTGCTCTCTGCTCTGCCCCTGAGCCCCTGTACGTCACACCCGGGGCCAGGGGGAATAAGGGAAGGACAAAGGAGGTGGAAAAATGGCCATTTTTCCGCAAAAACTCGTGGAGCGTCTATACCTCAAGCACAGTTTTGCACAAGAGAATTAAAAGAACAGAGGAGTTTTTGTGCAATTGGTACTCCTCTTTCTATGAGGAAGAAGCATTTTTGTGAAAGAATTCTTTTGCAAAAAGGCATGCGTGAACAGGGAAGGGGGGAGGGGTTGCACAAAAAGAGGAAAGAGGAAAAAGCACAGGTGCCCTGGTGGCCATTCTGTGCATACCAATCAGTGCTTACTTTCAAGAGAGCATCCATGAAATCTGGATGCTCTCTTTCGCAAAAGCCCATCACTTTTCCAATGTGCTTTTGTGCTTTTCCCCAGAATAATTCAAACTAATTACTCCCCAGTGCTTCCTGGGGCTCCAAGTCTGAAGTAGCATATCCACATTAATAGAGCTGGTTTTGGACTAATTTTGAGGCTTCCCCATAGTGTGGACACACTAGTTTGAATTCGTTAAATAGGAAGTTAAGTCAAATTTACTAATTTTGAAATAGTTTCCTAGTGTAGAAATCTGTGAAAGTCCCTAACTAGAGATGGAACAAAAATTCAGATTTGACTGAACTGAAGTCTCAAGAGTTGTCCTCATGAGATTTTGGTCCCCAAAAGGTGAAATAAGATGTTCTCATGAGATGAGTTATCTTGGGCTATATTCCAAACTAAGTCAGGAAAAAGGGATTCAGGTTTTATGATCTGAGCCATAATTAAATCATTAAATCCAAGGATCCATATACAGTGAAAGATTTGTTATCCAGCACTCTGTGCACTGGAAAATTTTGTTAACCGACATTGCTCCCAGCCACAATACTGCCACATCTTCAAGTGGTGTATGCACCAGACTCTCACCTGTCCAGCTGATCATTGAGGCGCTTCTGACAGCAGGTGCCTCCTTACCACTCAGCCTGTCTCGAGCTGCTGGGAACCAGATCTGCTGGTAGATGGGGGCAGAACAATAAGCTTTGTTATCCGGGATATTCAGTTAACCAGCAACCCTCATTCCCCATGAGTGATGGATTACAAAGCATTCACTGTACTCTCCTAACAGAAGTTTAAGGTGTAGTGTTAGGTGGGAGATTTTATTAAATTTTAAATGTCAGTCATGTAATAAAAAGCATGCACACTACTGCAAGCAGATTATTTTGTACAGTAAATTTTTGTAAAGAAGTGATATCAGAAAAAGTCTAAGCCATCCACAACCGGGTCCTATGTAAGGATTACAGTAGGGGCTGCCAACTTTCTAATTACACGCTTGCCCTGCCCCCTCCCCAATGCTGCACCCCAGCCCTGCCCCTTCTCTGAGACACCCTCCTCCCCTCCATTGTTTGCTCTCTCTCACCTTCACTGACTTTCACCAGACTGGCCAGGAGGTTGGATGTGGAGAGTGGGCGAGGGCTCTTGCTGGGGATGAAGGCTCCAGGGTGAGGCCAGGAATAAGGTGTTCAGGTACAGGAGGTGGCTCAGAGCTGGGAAAGGGGGCTGAGTAGTGATGTAGGCTCCAGGAGGGGTTTCCAACCTGGGGCAAGAGGTTGGGGTGCTCAGGGGGACTCTGATGTGGGCTAGGGGGTTGGGGAGCAGGGCCTGGGGGAGTTGAATTGCAGAAGGGAACTCTGCCTGGGGGGTGCTTACCTCAGGTGGTTCCCAGTCAGCGGTGCGGTGGGGCTGAGGGGGGCTCCCTTTCTGCCCTGGCTCCGTGCTGCTCTCAGAAGGAGTTGCCACGTCTGGCCCCTAAGCAGAGGCAGGGCCAGGTGACTATGTAAGCTGCAAGGAACCTGAGGCAATTCCCTGACTGTCCCTGCGCCCAGGGGCCGGACGTCCAGCCGCTTCCAGGGAGCTGGGTGGAATCAGGCTGGCGGAGAGCTGCCTTAGCCCTGTGGCACAGACTGAGAGTGGCCCTGTCAGAGGTGTTGCCTGGAATCACCAGCCTCCCTTTTCCATTGGGCAGCCTGATTGAAAAGGGAATGCCTGGTAATCCTGGTAAGAAAAGGGGAGAAAGCAGCAGCTTGGCTGAAGTGAGGGGGGAATTGTCACAGAGCAGGGCAACACAGCAGGGTGTATCTGGACTGCAAAGGGGGGTGAGTGGCATGTTTTGATGCTGGTAGCGGGGAATCGATCTTCACGTTCCCGCCGGCCCCTTTCGCCGGGGAGAGAATCCGCCCCTTCTTCCTGTGTGCGGGACACGGGGTTTCCCTTTGCACTCGCCCAGCCTAGCTCATTATTTAGCCACAAGGAGCTAATACATATTTAAATACAATGCCTTGTGTGTGTACGGAGGTACAGGGCTGGAATTTTCAAAAGAACCAAAGTAACTTAACACCCCTTGATATTCAATAGAACTTGTGCCCCACATTATCAAGAGTGGCATTTGTAAAGCCTTTCTATTTGCCACTGTGTTATTTTAACTGTTAATATATTTTCTAAGAAAATGGAGTTCCACAGTGCAGGTAAAACGCTTGTGTTCTCCAGTTCTCCATTAACGTCCCCCCATGAACGGATAATTTGTCTGTTCTCACTTTCTGGTATGTTCTGGTTTTCTGTGTGAGATGCAGTTTGAGACTGAAACAAAAGGTCGGTTTCCTCATGGATTTTGCCAAAATAAATGGAAAAAGAACAGAACTTTGGGAGACCAGTCGGCTCTCTTGTGTCTGCCGCCCAGAACAGGACGTAAAGACCAAAGAGAGGAGAGAGACAAGATTGATGCAAATAGTGACGTTGAAATTCCACCACACACTGGATTTTCCACAACATCATCAGTTCAACCCTCGTTATACCCTCAAGGAAATAATCTCACTGGAACAATGGGAATTACTCTGGCGATACCAGGACCATGAAATAAATACGAACAGATCCTATGGAAAGCTCCTTGAGATGCCCTGACTTAAACTGAAATGTCCAGACTCTGTCACGTCAGGGTTGTTTTCAGGAGTATGTAAATTGCCATTTTTATTGTTCGTGTAACTCATTTTTAAATCTCCCTGATTTTGCTGAGAGCGATTCACTGAATCCAAATTCTCCCCTTGTAAAATGTGGACAGGTGCATACTCTGATATGTCGTGTCCATGGAGTTTCAATAAAATTGTTGGTATTAATAAAAGGTCCATATTGTCTCAGACTAGTTCCTTTGCGGACCAGTCAAAAAATGGTGCAAACCTCAGAGCGAGTTGATTTGTCGATATAAAAAATATCCTGTGCCAGGTTGGGCCAGGTTTCCAGGAGGCCTTGAGTTCACATTCACCATTTAACCCTGGATGGGAACCTTTTTTAGGTTTGGGGCCACTAACCCACAGAGAAATCAGTCGGGGGCCGCACACAAGTGGGAAGCAAAGCGAGAAGTGCCTGCCTGAGAAGGAAGGAGACGCTCCACACATTCCCTTCACACACCAGAGCCTGGGGGGGGGAGCCTCCTGCACTGCTGTTGGGGGTGGGGTTGCCATCCAGGTTGGGCACTGGACCCGTTACTGTTGCGTTCAGATCTGGGTGTCCTGCCAGCAGCCACCGCTCTCCAGCCCCCGCCTGGAAATCCGGGTGCCCCCAGCCATGGCAATGAAGGCGGGCGACAGTCAGAGAAAATGCCATGTTCCTTCTGTCACGTCAACTAATCGATTCCCTTCCTTGCTTGCCTCCTCCCCCTTCACATTGCTGCATCTCTATCAGAGGCAGCAGCACGTGGGTGGGGGCCAGGCAACTCCATGGGATCTGGTGCTCATGGGGATACAGCTTAAAAGCACAGCTCCCACCGTCCCACCCCCTTTGCTGCCTCTGATACTGAGGCAGCCGGGAGAAGGGTGAGTGGAGTCGACAGGATTAACCAAGAAGTCCAGGCATATCGGTTAATCGTGTAGCTGACTACATGCTGACATCCCAAGTTTGTGCTGACTCTGGTGCTGCCTCTAGTGGGCCCCTGGCCAGTGGCACCCGCTCTCTGACCACCCTGTGTGGGAGGCAGGGCTGACACCAGCCGCGGGGCTGAAGGAAATGCTGCAATCCCGCCCCCTCCTGCACTTCCTGCTGCACCGCTGTTGGGAGCAGCACTGACAGCCGAGCAGGGCAGCCAGAGAGTCGTGGCACGACAGCCCACACCCTGCAGCAGTGCAGAAGGGAAGGAGGCAAGACCCTATCATGCCCCCTTCCCTCTCTGCTGCGACTGGTGGTGGCGCTCGTTTCTGAGCTGGGTGACCTGCCAGCGGCCACTGCTCTGCTGCCTCCCAGATCGAAAGGCAGCCCCCCCACCGGCAGCGGTGCAGAAGGAAGGGTGAGGCTGCTGGCAGTGGGGCTGTATTTGACCCAGGTACCCAGACAGTGGCCACTGCTCTCCAGCCGCTCAGCTGGGAAAGCCAGGAGAAATCCAACTTTTTTAAGATTTCCAAACATCTGCCCAGAGGAAGATTTGAGGCCCAAAGACGAGGTCATGGCTGAGAAAACCCAGGTGGCCAGTGACCCTGCTCGTGAGCCCCCTACCCTGGCTCTGGGACCCACTTTTGGATTGGGAGCCCCAGCTGGAGAAAGGCTGCTCTAGGGGATTCCCCAGTGAACCTGTGGTCCAACATGGCCAAGTTTCTGGCAGGCCATTTCCCACAACTTCCAGGGAACATGCCAGGACTAGGGCCCCATCGCATTCCCCCTGCACCTCACCCAATCCACAGCCAGAGAGTTCCCACGCTGCTCCGTGGGAAATGTCCCGGTACTGTAACCGGGCAGGTCCTGGCCTGAACTAGGATTGTGTGCGGTGGGGGGGGGGGGGGGAAAAGTTGATCATAGAAGATCCGAGAAGATTTTTACTGTCCAAAATGATTTCTTTAGTAAGGGCCTAAGAGTCACTTCTCATCGGGTAATAGGCCTCCCAGTTCGATTTCATTGGAATTCAACTCCCAGGTCATATCCCAAAGAGCAGAGGAAATTCCACTGTTTTTGTAAGTGTCAGTGGCTCACACACCGGCAGGGTGTTTGTCCCCCAAAGATGAGCCCCCTGGAGTCGAGTAGTTTGATGTGAATCTGCCTGTTATTTTCTGAGAAGAAGATTAAAACCCGCCCGCCCAGTGGAAACCACTTGATTTCCTACCTCACTGCAGACACAGACCCACCAGACTCGTGTGTCACTCGGGGAGGCTTGGATGATCAAGACACGGAAGGGGTCAGATCGATGCTCAGTGGCCCGTCGGTGCCTCATGCAAAGCTCTTGGCACAAGTGAGCCCAATGGGTTCATGCTGCAGTTGGGGAGAGCGAGGCAGTGACTCCTGCCTGTCTCCCAGCCGCCTGCTTTCCCTCTTCCCAGTCCCCCTGCTGCCCTGCGGGGACACGGCTAGGAAGAAGCCTTGGGAAATGATTGTACCAGTTGCAGAGGGCAAACATGCAGCAGGAGAGAAGATGGTTACTGCCGCCAGCGCTGGACTCTAGCATGGTCCCTTCCAAAGGCTGGAATACGACAGGCAGCCACAGGTGAAAGTAACTGAAACTTCTGATGGGTGCTGTGGTTTCGTGTACACCTCCCGAACCAGAAGAGAGGCCGGGGTCTGCTGCTGCGTGTGTGGGTTTGATACCACAATATCAGTAGGAAATGTAAGTGTCTGGTGGAGTATGAGGGACATAGGACAAGGCATTGTAATGTGCTGGGGGGCGCAGGGTAGGGGGCTGTGGTTGTGAGGAGGGGCTCAGGGCAGGGGCTGGGGTGGTTGTGGGGCTCAGGGCAGGGATTGGGACGTGTGTGTAAAGGAGAGGTTTTTTTGGGGGGTGGTCACTATTTTGGGAGGCTGGCGGGAGGGGTCCAGCAGGCAGGATTCCATCACAAATCTCAGGATTCAGCCCCCAGCCTCCCTAATGTGTGCCCTAGAGAGGGTCAGGGTCGGGGCCGTCGGGGGCTGGGGGGCACGAACCCTTTACTCTGCCTGGTTGCCCACTGGTGAGTGCACCAGCCTGCAGGAAGCCCCAGAAGCCTGTCTGGACACATGCTGCCTCTCCTTCTATAGCCAAGCGCCCCTGCCGGCCAGCTCCTATCCCCTGGAACTGCACTCCGGTGCGCACCGGTTGCCTGCACCTCTGCTGGCAGCTCACAATGATGTGTCAGTTTCCCCAGAACCGCCTCACCTGCGGCAGAGCTGAGCCCGGGGCGATGCCCTAGGCCCCTCTGGAGTCCCACCCTGCGGTGACACAGCGATGGGGGGAGAAATGCTCTAGGGAGCCCTGTGGGGCTGTGGCAGGTGCTGTTATTCGTACAAACGCCCTGCAGAGGCCAAGCTGCGCCATGCAAGTACCAGCCAAGCAAGGTGCTGCTCTTGCAGTGTTTATGGTCCAGTCTCCCTTTGCCATCTGAGCCATAAGGAGTTTGTGGACTTATAAGAGTAACAGAAGAGAGTGAGACTGCCCAGGAAATGAACATTTGATGTTGAAAGATCTGAGTCAGCCCCTTTCTGAGAAGAAAAACGGAAACTAAATTCCTCCCCTCACTGCAGAAGCAGCCATGGCTGCTGCAAAGGCAGGACACACGCTCCTGAGTGAACTGACTTGCTCAGTGTGTCTAGATTCTTTTAAAGATCCCGTGTGTCTGGATTGTGGGCACAATTTCTGCCAAGCTTGCCTCACTCAGTGGTGGCAGGGACTGAGTACAAACTTCAGCTGTCCGGAGTGCAGAGAAACCTTCTCCCAGAGGAACTTCAAACTGAACAGGCAGCTGAGGAATATTGTAGAAGCCTCCAGACCCCTGACAATGGAGCCAAAACAAGAACCAGAAGTGGAGACAATATGTGAGAAACACAACGAGGCTTTGAAAATCTACTGCCAAAAGGACCAAATCCCCATTTGCCTGGTTTGCCACCTGTCCCGAGATCACAGAGACCACACCGTGGTTCTCATAGAGGAAGCTGCCGAGACTTACAAGGTAAGAAACCAGCGGGAATGGCCAGGGAGGGCATTTAAATAAAATAATTATGGAAAAAACAGCAAATACTGTAAGAGCATCCTAAGAAGTCTCTAGCTGAAACGTGGCCTATGAAATAAGCATAGTCATCTTCAGTATGGTCACTTCATAAACATTCTGGCTACGTCTGCGCTGCATCCGTCTTGAGCAAGAACATTTTGTGCAAGAGTTCTTGTGCAAAATGTTCTTGTGCAAGAGCACGTCCACACTGTCATTCGCTTTTGCACAAAGGGATGTGCTTTTGTGGAAGTGTGTCCATAGCAGTGTGAATGCTTGTGCCAGAAAACGCTGGTGGTAATTTGAGCCATAGGGGTTTCTCGTGCAAGAAACCCCCATTCCTGTCCACACATGCCTTTGTGTGCACGAGGTCTTGTGCAAAAGGGCTTATTCGTCATGAGGAAAGGAATAATTCTCACACTGTGTTCTTACACTTGACTGTACTTTTTCTTGCTCAAGAATAGGCGTGTAATGTGGATGCTCCACAAGTTTTTGTGCCAAAACAGTTGTTTTCATGCAACAATTCTGCAATATAGGCTCTGAGTAACTTCTGGAGCACCCAAACTTCCGAAGAATTCAGGGACCTGGGAGAACTGAGATACAAACTCTTCCAGGGCACAGTGAAGGCCATACCCATCACATAACCCACTGTCACTGATTCTGCTTTTCAGGTGTTCTTTTCATTTGCTGTACGTTTTGAGGAAGAATCACTCTCAGTTGGGCAAGTCAGAGATTAGAGTCTGTCGTTTTTCACTGGGAATGTGTAGCTAGGTCTAAACGTTTCTGTTCCACAACATTTGACCGTGTTCAAAAGAGTTTCTAGGTTGCAATGGGTTAACAGGAAAAGGCTGCAAATTGGTTCTCAATCTTGAAATATTGTCCTCAAGATAGTGTGCTATGTTTTATACATTTTATCCACTTTGGAACCACATTATCCAGGTACTTTTTGGTGTTTAAAATACAAGTTCTGGGCTAAAACAGGCCAGTTACAATGTGCTCTTAGTCTGTCCTGGGAACTGTCTGTAACGGTACCTGCTGGGCTTTGCAACTCTGCACTAGTTAGGCCTACTCTGCTCTACTCTGCACTAGTTAGGCCTCAGCTGGAGTACTGTGTCCAGTTCTGGGCGCCACATTCAAGAAAGATGTGGAGAAATTGGAAAGGGTACAGAGAAGAGCGACAAGAATGATTAAAGGTCTAGAGAACATGACCTATGAAGCCAGGCTTCATGAACTGGGCTTGTTTAGTTTGGAAAAAAGAAGATTAAGGGGGGACATGATAGCGGTTTTCAAATATCTAAAAGGGTGTCACAAGGAGGAAGGAGAAAATTTGTTCCTCTTGGTTTCTGAGGACAGGACAAGGAGTAATGGGCTTAAAGTGCAGCAGGGGAGGTTTAGATTGGACATTAGGAAAAAATTCCTAACTGTCAGGGTGGTCAAACACTGGAATAAATTGCCAAGGGAGGTGGTGGAATCTCCCTCTCTGGAGATATTTAAGAACAGGTTAGATAGACATCTGTCAGGGATGGTGTAGATGGAGCTTGGTCCTGCCTTGAGGGCGGGGGGCTGGACTCGATGACCTCTCGAGGTCCCTTCCAGTCCTATGATTCTATGATTCTATGATTCATTGCTTGGAATTGCCATTCTAGGCCTCTTAGCTGAGTGCACTAACCATAATATGGGATATTATGATGTGGGACCTTCTCCATTTGCTTTCTCACAGCTGTGCCAATGGGGAGAAAGAGCCATTTAGACCAAATAGCGGGGCAGGAGGATGGGAGGAGAGAGAGGCTACAAGCATGAGAATGCCTCTCTAGCCAGGCAGCTAGACCACACTCTCAGGCTACGTGTACACTGGCACCCTTTTCCGGAAATGCTTAAAACGGAACAGTTTTCCGTTATAAGTATTTCCGGAAAAAGCGCGTCTACATTGGCAGGATGCTTTTCTGGAAAAGCACTTTTTCCAGAAAAGCGTCCGTGCCAATGTAGATGCGCTTTTCTGCAAAAAAGCCCCTATCGTCATTTTCGCAATCAGGGCTTTTTTGCGGAAAACACTACTGTGCTGTCTACACTGGCCCTTTTCCGGAACAGTTTTCCGGAAAAAGGACTTTTGCCCGAATGGGAGCAGCATAGTATTTCCGGAAAAGCGGCTGATTTCTTACAGTAGATCGTCAGTGCTTTTCCGGAAATTCAAGGGGCCAGTGTAGACAGCTGGCAAGTTATTCCGGAAAAGCGGCTGATTTTCCGGAATAAGTGGCCAGTGTAGACACAGCCTCAATGTATGGTGTATTTAGTAACCTTGAAAATAGAAAGAGAAGGTAATTCCTCCCAAAGCAACTAAAGCTAAATAGTTTTTATGTAGTAGTTGTTATTGTGTGGGTTTTGGTTTGTTTGGGTTTTTTGCTAGGACCGAATGCAGAGCTCTCTGAAGATTTTGAAGAAGGAAAGAGACAGGATTCAGTCATTTAAATTGAGCGGGGAAAAGAAAAGCCAAGAACTGCTGGTAGGTGCCATTATTATTTAGATGCAAACGTGCACAGGCAAATTATCCACACACAGCTTAGAAGTGAGTTCATAAGAGAAATAGTGAGAAATGTGCTCCCTTCTGTGAAAGACTGTTCCTCATTCACTGTCACTGTAAAAAGAAATTGTTCTCCGACGTCTTAATAGTCCATATATTTTCACTGATAATGGGAGTGTAATTTTTCAGCCAGAAAACCCGTCATGTAGATGAATGGGGCTTAGTAAAAAACAATTTTATTTTTTTCTGGGAAAACATCATTTGCAACAGCATTTTCTATTTGTGAAGAAATTTCAAATGAAGCACACATTTTTGGGTCCTTTCACATTGAAATTTTAATTTTAGTTTTCAAAAGTGGAAACATCTTCAAAAATTCAAATATTTTATTCACCTCCCCCTTTGAAAGCACTGTTTTAGGCACCCAACCTGCCCAGCTTTTGGCCTGCTTAGTTTTCAACAGAGGTAACCCCAACAGGGCAAAAACACCATGGCTACGTCTAGACTGGCATGATTTTCCACAAATGCTGTTAACGGAAAGTTTTTTTCGTTAAAAGCATTTGCGGAAAAGAGAATCTAGATTGGCACGGATGCTTTTCTGCAAAAGCACTTTTTTCCGGAAAAGTATCCGTGCCAATCTAGATGCGGTTTTGCGTAAGAAAGCCCCAATCGCCATTTTCGCCATCGGGGCTTTTTTGTGCAAAAGTTTTTAGCTGTCTACACTGGCCCTCTTCTACAAAAACATTTCCGGAAAAGGGTTTTTGCCTGAACGGGAACGTCAAAGCATTTGCACAAGCAGCACTGATTTCGGACAGTAGAACATCAGTGCTTTTGCGCAAAATCAAGTGGCCAGTGTAAACAGCTGGCAAGTTTTTCTGCTTTTGCGGAAAAACTTGCCAGTCTAGACACAGCCCATGGAGTCTGCTGGCACTTTAAAGACTAGCAGGTTTGCTGCCAGAGAACTCCTTGTTGTTTTTACTGAAATAGCGTAGCACGGCTATCTCTCTGAAACAGGACAATTTGTGCAGCTGCTGTAGGTATCCTCTGCCCCAGAGAAGGCTGGTTACTTAGGCCTTCAAAGCCTATTGCAGTAATTGGAAAGATGCTGGTTGAGCTGTGTGAGCTCTGGAGCTGGTCCTTAATGATGATATCACTGCTAGACATTGCCAGGAAAAGATCTGAGTTAGAAATCTGCTCTGATTTCCTTGCTCCTAAGTCATGAGGGGCTAGAGAGTGCTCCAGAGACAACATGAGTACTCCTTCAAAAAATAAAAGAAGTTACATTCTGGGGGGTTGCAATGCCGTGTTTGCATCTGCATATGTACAATTTTATAAAATGTCCCATAATTCACTCTGTGTTCCTGTCCTCTGCTTTCCCCGCTCACACTGTGTGATTTCAGAAACAGCTAGAAACTGAGAAGCAGAAAATTGTGTCTGAGTTTGAGCAACTGTCCAAGTTTCTGAAGGGACAAGAGCGACTCCTGCTGGCCCAGCTGGAAAAACTGAAGAAGGAAATTGAAAAGAGGCGGGATGAGTATGTGGCTAAACTACATGAGGAACTGTCCTCGTTCAGTTCCCTGATCAGCGAGATGGAGCAGAAGTACCAGCAGCCAGCGATAGAATTCATGCAGGTGAGATGGTGTTAGAATGTTTCTCAGGCAAAGAAACTCCTAATTCTTCACTTTTGGAGAACAATGGGGAAAGTTCAGAACATAGAGTATTACTAAAATCGATCCTAGTTTTCCTTAAGTGCTTGATAAAAAAAAAGCCCATTAAAGAAAATGGAAATATACTTCTTGTGTACAGTTGACATTGGATCAAGCCCTAAATGAAAAAAAAACCCTTTTTGTATTCTTATGGGACAGGACTCTTCCAAAAATGGCAGACTCCAAGCTCTGTTCTCCCTGTCCTATTAAGCAAGACCAAAGGGAAATTCAATAGAATTAGAAGATGAATTCAAATCTGAACCAACGCACACTTTTCCATACATCACCAGATTAGACAGTCGAACTCATTAACCGTGGATGCTGTTGAGGCCAAACATTTGGCAAAACTAAAAAAGGGATCGGATATTTATATGGATAACAGAAATATCTAGAGGGTTGTTAAATCTCAGGCTTTATTGTTTTAGCCAGTCAAAAACTATTAGAAAGCCCAATATCTTACAACTTACTCAAAAGCATCTAGGACTGTTGTAACTAATATCTGCTGTGGGCAGCATTCGTCTCTCCTCGCGTCCCCTGCATTGAACCTGGGTGCAGGATAGCGACTCTGCACCCCAATCCCATTGTTCTCCCTCAGCCCTGACTTCCTGTGGCCGCCAAGAAGCTCACGGGATAGACCTTGAGAATGGTTGAGGGAGAGCAGGGAGAGAGTTTACAGCTTGGGGGCGGTACGGCCTGGAGCAGCCTTCCGTCGTGATCCCCTGCCGTCTGCAGGAGGGGTCGTTCCCAAAGCCGGGAGTGTTCGGGAGATCTTTGTTCCACACGTCACCCGCCTGAGCCCTCTGATTCCATGTGCCCAAGGGGGTTACACACCGAGCTAGTGAGCTCCATAGACAGACTCCCTGGGCCCAGATCCTGCACTTGCTGCCCTTTTCTGGGATGGACCTTGAGAATGGTTGTAGGAGAGCAGGGAGAGAGTTTACAGCCTGGGGGCAGCACGGCCTGGGGCAGCCTTCTGTCGTGATCCCCTGCCGTCTGCAGGAGGGGTCGTTCCCAAAGCCGGGAGTGTTCGGGAGATCTTTGTTCCGCACATCACCTGCCTGAGCCCTCTGATTCCATGTGCCCAATGGGGTTACACACCGAGCTAGTGAGCTCCATAGACAGACTCCCTGGGCCCAGATCCTGCACTTGCTGCCCTTTTCTATGGGAGCGAAGGCAACACATTGAATGGGTTTGTTTGTGTTAATAAATAACAAATCATTTCAATTTCACTGTGAACCCCCAACGGGGAAAACTGAATTTCCTCTTCTCTGCCTCCTCTAGGACATCACAGGCACCTTGCGCAGGTAGGTGGCTCCTTCTCTCTCTCTCCCTTTCACTTCCCCGTGCAGGGAAGGGATTTTAGACCCGCGACGTGGCTCCCCGGGGTCCAGCAGGGCAGAGTGTGGGACTGGCTCCCCGCTGCAGAGATTGGTGTCTTGTTTCCTATCACACAGTGATCTCTGTCGCTGTGCCTGGCAGACACGCCCTGCTCTAAGGCCTTTGGCATGTGCTTTGACTAGTAGCACTGTGGTAGTGCCTGAAGGCAGAATGCAAAATCAGGTTGGCGCTGATGCTGGGCGCTGCACAGACGCAGGAAGAGACCGGCCCTGTGCCAATGAATTTACAGTCTAAACAAGGGTATGTCTACACTACCCCGCTAGTTCGAACTAGCGGGGGTAATGTAGTCATCCGCAGTTGCAAATTATTTGAATTTCCCGGGCTTCATTTGCATGAAGCCGTCCGGTGCCATTTTTAAATGCCGGCTAGTTCGGACCCCATGCCACGCGGCTACACGCGGCACAAACTAGCTAGTTCGGATTAGGCTTCTAATCCGAACTAGCTGTACACCTCGTTCCATAATTAACCTGTGGAACTCCTTGCTACATGCTATTTCTGAGTTTCATAGATGCATAAAGTTGAAGGCCACAAAGGACCATTGAGATGATCACATTGATCTCTTTTATCATAGCACAGGCACCACCTTTCTCTTTCCCCTGGGACTGCCCAACTCTAGCTTTGCCTCAGGCTCTGGCCCCATTCCACCCCTATCTCCAAGATCCTGCATCTCCTCTTCCTGCCTTTGTTCCACCTCTTCCCCTTCTGCACCTCCTGCCGGCTGAGAAACAGCTGATCTCCATTGGGGAGAGGGCATGTGGGAGGCTGAACGCACCTTAGGTAGGAGCTGACTGGAGGAGTCTGAACACCTGTTATTTTTTTCCATGGATGGTCCAGCCCCTGAGCATCCACGGAGTTGATGCCTGTGTATCACAGCCCTTAAATTCCACCCAGTTATTCCCGCATTCAGCCCAGTCACTTGTATTAACTAATTCCTAGCTTGGGTTGGCTGAAGCACCTTGTGGAAGCCCTTCAGTCTTGATTTGAAGACATCAAGCAACAGCAGCAGAAACTGAAGCTCACCGCAAGTCGGGGGTGGGAGCACTGGTGCCCAAATCATTGACCTGTCTCTGTTCCATATCTTCTGCCAAGACCCTGCCCAGCGTCTTCCCCCAAGACCTCACCTCCCGCTTGCTTCTTCTCTGTCCTTCCCCCGCATTGATTGCCTGTAAGGCAGGTAGAAAGAGAGCCTAGCGCTCCCATTTCTAAAAGTGACGGGGCCATGGCCTCCCTGTTCTAGCACCTCTGTCAAGACATGGAGTATCCCTCACGTCCCTTGGCAGTTTCTTCCCATGGTTAACCCGCTGGTGGTATTTATACGCCGTGTTCAAGTGCCACAGTTCTCTCAGTGTACGGCAATTTTTAACCAACCCTCAAATGAGTTTCAGGGCTCTTCCCTGCACCCTCTCCAAGTTTTCAATGCCCATTTTAAAATGGGGGCACCAGAACTGGGTGGAGTTTTCCAGTATTGGTCTCACCAAAATGAAGGGGAAGCTGGTCATGCCCCAGCTGGTAGTGAACCTATTCATGCAGCAACGGTGCATTTATGAAGCTCCGTCTACACCATCCCTGACAGATGTCTATCTAACCTGTTCTTAAATATCTCCAGAGAGGGAGATTCCACCACCTCCCTTGGCAATTTATTCCAATATTTGACCACCCTGACAGTTAGGAATTTTTTCCTAATGTCCAATCTAAACCTCCCCTGCTG